CAATTTGTGAGCGTGGTGGGAGGTACTTTAATCTACCCCCTTAGAAACGGACCCACAGAGGCTGTTCCTCTGGGAGAGGTGGGTGCTCAGGCTTTTTAACAAACCTCTCCACATTGGGGGGGGAAGTCACGGAAACATCCTGACAGCCAGGAGCCCCCGGCACTGGCCCACAACAATCACCCAGAGTCCATTTTTGCTGCAGCCCACTGCTGACCTCCAGGAGAGACCAGCAAGCTCCTGTAGGATTCTGACAGTCAGCAGCAGAAAGACACCTGAAGGGCCACTATTGTAGCCTGCTAGGAAAATCTGTTGTTATCCAAGCTAGAATATTTATAGCTATTATATATATATATTTATATTTAGTATATATTGTATATATAGTATTCATTATATATACTATACTAAGTATACATATGTAGTATATATATCCAAGCTAGTATATCTCCAAGCTTATATTTATAAGGCAAACACCTTTCTCCCAGTGATGTATAAAACCAGCAACAGCTTTCAATTTAACAGCAGTTTTTACCCAAGAATCCTGAAGAAAAGTGATGGGAACTTCTGGAGCCCATACAAATGCACATGAAGTGTGAGGAGGGTATTTTTTCATTGACAAACCCAAAAGCTGGCAGGTGTTCCAGCCAATGAATTCCCACAGGACACAACTTGGAAGAAAAGAGGCAAAAGCAGCTGAAGTGTTTTGTAAAGAAAGGTCATGGAAATTCCCTACACAAGGAGGACATGAAGCTGTTGGAAAGGGTCCAGAGGAGGCCACAAAGATGATCCAAGGGCTGGAGCAGCTCTGCTCTGGAGACAGGCTGGGAGAGTTGGGGTGTTCAGCCTGGGGAAGAGAAGGCTCCAGGGAGAACTTAGAGCACCTTCCAGTGCCTGAAGGGGCTCCAGGAAAGCTGGGGAGGGACTTGGGACAAGGGCACAGGGTGATGGGATGAGGGGGATGGTTTTAAGCTGAAAGAGGGGAGATTTAAATGAGATATTATGAAAAAATTCTTTGCTGTGAGAGCAGTGAGGCACATCCCAACCCGGGTAGGGCAGCCCAGGGTGATTCAGATTGGACCCCTTGCTTTCTAAACTTCTCAGAGAGGCTTCCAGGTGTGACTGGATCCAACCTGGGTGTCAGACCTGGCCCTTCCAGGGACAGTGACTAAAATGTCACAATCTGAGGAAATGCTTGATTGTCTAATACCCCTTGATTGGGTTAAGGTGAAACGACACTCAGGGTCTGTATTTGAATATTAAGTTTAATTAAAACTATAGAAGGAATATGGATACTTCAATTGTTGTCTCAGGCTTTGTGATCATAAAGGCTGATTATTTCTATCACGAAAGCCACAATTCAGATACATTCAAGCTGCACAGTCTGATAAAAAACTGTGGTTAGGCCTTGTGTTACTAATGATTTTAGGAAAGGAGAGAGAGAGAGAGAGAAAAAAAAAAAACAGGAGAAGAAAAGTTAGAGACAGACAAGAGCAAATCCCCAGTCCTGGATCCAGCACTGGGCCAGTGGTGGAGAGTTGGTGTCAGTGAGGCTCCCCAGCCCCACCACTGCAGCCCCCTGCTTGATAGGCCTAGTTCCTGCTATGTTCTGCTCTGGAGACAGGCTGGGAGAGTTGGGGTGTTCAGCCTGGAGAAGAGAAGGCTCCAGGGAGACCTTAGAGCACCTTCCAGGGC